AAAACGTTTAGGCATCAGACATAGCAAATTTTACATCCAAAATGGCCGCCAGTCGACCATTTTTGCTCCGATCATAAAGTAACTTGACGCGCATATGTAAGATATTATGTATTGTCTTCATGTAAAGTTTGAATGAAATCCGTCAATGGGTGTCCGAGATATAGCTCCGGACGTACGTACGGACGGACGAACGAACCCAAATTAACGAAGTCCAAAAAATGGGACTAAAAATGCGAGCATGTGCATCCATCCATCCAGCGATATGAATACGTGATGTGTGACCGAAGAAATTGAATAATTTCTACTGCGCCACATTCACCGGGCAGATCGTGTTCGAATATAATGTAAGCAAACAACGTAGTTATACACACGTTGTATACGCCGATATGGACCCATGACATAGAACACGACGCGGAAAGATTGTTGCGACTGTTGAATTGGTTTTACCGTGTGCCTGTGTATACCGTTCATAGTACATTCTATCAACGCATGACATCGTTAGTGAGCTGAATGTTTATTAGTTACTTGTCGCACCAACGATGTTTCATTGGCTGGATGTGTTTTGTATGCATAATGACCGGTTCATTAGCTAACACGTCGTTGACCGAGTAAGTGAGTAGACATATATTGATTTATAGACATATGATAACGGACGGGAAATCAATTAATCATTCGATTATATTTCCCACATATATAGGTCAGAAATGAGTTCACATTATGGTCACCATGCCTACGGGAATTCTATCAAAAAAGCGCTTTCCAACAAGTAATTGTAGAATTATCTTTAGTACAGTATTCGCTGATCAATATCTTTTCCTTGTAGATAGTTATGATGGTTTGCCTCAAATATACAATAAAGCAGTTTTTGAGCTCAAATTTCAATACGGAGCGTGTTACTGCACATATATACAATGCATTATGGGAGGGAACATAGAGGCGGAGCGGTTTAAGTTTGACAGCTGTTTTATTGAAATTTAAGGCCACAGTGTCTGATGTTCTGGCAAACAGTTGCCAACCTGGAAGGTCACAACATGACGACAAGTCGACATTTCTGTAGCACGATTGAAGCACTTTAATATAAACTGTGAATTCGCATCAACGCCAATATAAAACATAACAGAAAATATATATAAAAAAGTATAGTACAATGACAGTTGAAAGAAATTGCAATTTAATGTATAAAATATAACAAAGAATAAAAATATAACATAAAGAAATGAAAACATAAAAAAGATGAATAATAATATAGTAATAAATAGCAATAAAACAAAGTAAAATTAGAGTTAAATAAACTGAAAGATCATTCAATAACATATATTGCAATGCAATATACAACATAAAATAAAGATAAATGTAATCATAAAAACTTTCGCTCCTTAAACCTAAATTAAACAACTGTGGGCTCTATACAGCGTAGAAACCTGGACGAAACATAAACATATGGTCTCAGCCTCTGTTTATTTTCCGTCGGCTTTCGATCTTATATTAAGATATGGCATGTGCACTGAAAATATGATATATCATGAGTAATCATATAATATAATATACTTTTTTAAACGAGTGTAGAAAATGTTATTCGTTCCGAGCTCACGAAAAATACTTCGCAAATGTATATACAATTACACAATAGTTTAAAACTGGTCTATAACTTGAATATCGACTTTTCTAGCTATGGTAGATTAAGACATAGATTCATGTTTGTATAACAGTTCCTTTAAATTTGTTGCAAAAAATCGTCTCTCGAAGAGTGTATAATGTTTCTAAACACAGTCCTTAAACAGAAACAATATTGCCTAAATCTAGATACATAGGCCAATAAATAATACTATGGTTTAGCAGCATGCTTAATGTCCAATCATATTGCATGGTATGGTACTCGGTACAGTTGAAATAACTGTTATTGCAGCGCTGGAATGACCGTTACTTTAATAACAAGGCGTTTTTACGTCGAGCGTGACTCATTATGTTCTCATTTTATGTGTAATCAATCTAAGCAAACAATAAAGTAACGTTCCAGAAAAAAAATCTCGACATCGATAAACTTTCCCGGACTTTTATAAAATACTCCATTTGAAAATACTTTATAAATTTCGTACAGGATCGGAACCCACTGATCCATATATATATCGGACTCTTCTGGATATCACGTTCTCGTACTTTACCCTATTCACAAAGGCCGGCTGCTTTGGTCTCAATTGTTCACGCAGGTTTAAGGAAAAATGCAACTTCTTTTATTGATTGTATATGTTCATGATGTAAACATATCTATCTGCGTTTTTAACTTATCCACATTCATCACACCCCATGCATATATTGATACATCGTACATTGCATTTATTTTGGTATGTGAAGGAGAAGAATATTTTAATTACTTTTCAGAATATTGGCAGGTATACCATTAATCAATAGACAGAATTGTCTGCATCAATGAGATGACTTTATTTTTATCCGATGAGTGACAATATTCTAATTACGATTTTTTATAATTCTTTGTCATTCAAATGAAAAACATACACATGTTTCATCAATGTCGAATTCAATTTATTTTATACTAATTTAGGATTATTATTATGGTGATTAATCATACATGATCATTAGTATGTCATTGACTTTTTCAGTGATTAGAGTCGTATCATTAACATTATATATCATAGCAAAATGTCAGATATAATTACAATGATTTATAATGCACATACAATTTACACTTACGATGGACCAATAACGAACGCCACGTTTTTTAAACATAAGTTATTAATAATCTATTCTATAGAATCATATTTGAAATTGATTGTATATAATCATAGACAGTGTCTAAAGAGGAGATGCATCTGCGATAAACGTCAAAGAAATCAATGTTTGCTTTGTGCAAGCCAGGTACGAAAAACTGTTAATTTAATTTTATTGACTACTAGATACAAAAGAAACCTCATGTACTGAGTAACACAGTAATTGGGGCAATCATACTTTCGTACCCTTTAAAAATATGGTAAAGCTGGAGTTCTTTGACTTTCTTCTTTTACATCTTATTTTTCGCTGCATAAAGACACAAATGCCACAACGTAAAGGCACGTGTATCGATTTTGAGATTGTCTGCACAACACTATAGATTGCATCCAGGTATACAAAAGTGAACACCTCAAATCATTAGTATTTCTGTGTTGTGGTCCATATTTTACGGCATAGTACATCAGATATACGTGTGATTGACAAATTGTTACACTGTATGTTAACACATTATGTTAAAATGTTAAAATGATTTGAGATCATGGTATGCTTTAGACATGTACTCCTCAAATATAAGGATACAATTCAGCATGTCAACATGTTCCACGTGCAGATAACATATACTATATGCTGGCGAGATAAAACAAACATTTCGTTGAATATATTTGTTATATACCGGTTATGTGACATTATTACATAAATAATTATACAGGTTA